CGGGGGGTCCCGTGCCACAGACGGGGACGCACGGTACGGCGAGCAGAAAGGGGGGGGACGAAGGCGGGGGCGGGGGGGGGGGGGGGGGGGGGGGGGGTAAAAACACAGGCTAAAAGTACAGGAGAAACCTAGACTGGTTTCTTTTCTTCAAATACAGGTAATTAAGTTAATGCACTAACACTTAAATACTGACACTGAAAATACTAGAACTGTTCCCATGGGCACTTAGACTGGATGAACTTTTTTTCCCCTTCTCTTTTTTTTTAAAGTTTTACTTTGGATATTTTGGGCAGTTTGAAATACCTTAGGAAAAGAGGAGAAATTGAGTAAGAGAGACACCTACTGGTTGGACAGGACATTGCAGGGAAAAGGAAGAAGAATGTTATGTCTGGGACAGTTATCTCTAGAATGGAAGTTTTAAAACATAAGAACATCTGCTAACTTGTTTACATTGAAGGTGGAGAAACACAGAGGAAACAGAACACCTGTGAATCATTGTGGATTATAAAATACAACTAGAAAAGTGAACCAGAGGTTTCGGTTTGTTTTGAGACTAAGTGGATGATTTTTCTTTTTTGATTCTTTTCCTTTTTTGGATGCTGGTTTTGGATTATAAATATTTAATAGTGAAGTGAGATTTATAACATCTTGGGGATTTGGTGGGCCTTGTGGATTACAAATACTAACTATTAAGAGGAGAAGAACATTTATAAGTTGTTTACATTGAAGATTTGGAGATTTATAGTGAAAACACTAAAACCCCTTTGTTTTGGACCAAGTGGATGGTTTTTTTTTCCTTTTTTCTATTTATTTTTTGGTTCGTGGTTTGGTTGGATACTGCCAATAGGGTATTTTGTTTTTTCCCCCAGCTCAACACTTTGGGATTATAAACACAGCTTACCGTGAAGTGAGTGAATTGAAAACTACAGTTTTGGCGGAATTGGTGGATTACAAATATTAACTGCTGAGAGAAGAAGAAAGAAAAACAACCAGTTGCGAAGAAGGACTGAGTGGGTGAATTATAAAAGTTATAACATTATGAAATTGGTGGAAAATTAGAAGGGAAACACATATTTTCTCCTTGTTTTATTAAAATAGTGGGGTTGGACTTGGTTGGGGAACAGGAAATTAGAGTGGTGTATTTTACTAAATTAAGTTTTGACTACTTGATTAATAGATACAAGTAGAAATGGCAAGTAATCCAAATCTAAGTAAACTAGGAAAGAAAACATCTGCGCCATCTTCTACAACATTGTCTGCAGCATCAATTTGGCACCACTGAAGAACAGGAAGGAGGAGAGGGAACAAAACATAAAGGTAAAAGAAAACCAGTACACGAGGAGAAGACTATATGGCAAGAAGAAAGTGAGGCTGAGAAAATAGAACATGCAGAGCGAGAAGGAACAAGAGCAAAGGCACAGAGAGAATTAAGACCAACTAGGACAACACGACCTATATGTAAGTAAGAAGATGGAAGAAGAATTAAAGATGTTATCAGTTAATATAAATGGACTGAATTCACCAAAGAAAAAGAAAAAAACCCTTCACAAAACTACAAAAACAAAAGCTTGATTTGTTTACAAGAAGTTCATATCAAAAAACAACACAGTAAGCTCTTAGAATACCCTAAAATTGGTCAAGCATATTTTTCATTAGCTCAACAAAAGAAAAGGGGTGGTCATATATATAAAGGAAACAATAAATGCTAAGCAAATTTATACAGATGAAGAAGGAAGAATATTGATGGTGGAGGTAACAATAAATCAAAAACAAGTATTGTTGATAGCAATATATGCGCCGAATAACAAGAAGAATTTTACAAAAAACTTCATATGAAAATAACCGAAATGGACTATGAAAACATTTGTATATTAGGAGATTTTAATGTAATAGTGGATGTAAAATTGGATTATAAAAGCAGGAAAAAAGGTAAAAAGGCAAGGAAAACACTACCAAGGACTTTTTAAAAAAATGACAGAACTTTCACTTCCAGATA